TTCAAATTCTCTAGCCTCGTTCGAAATTCCCCAGTCTCGTTCGAGCCTTTTCTGAAGTCCCTTAGTTGCTTCAGAGCGGCTTTCTCCTTGCTATAAACTTCTCTAGTCTCTTTCGAGCGGTTTGCTCCTTTTTTTCTGAAATTCTCTATAGTTGCTTTCGAGCGGTTTGCTCCTTGTTTTCAATTTCTCTAATCTCAGTCGAAATTCTCTAGCCTGTGTCGAGCGGTTTGCTCCTTCTTCTGACTAAGGATCGGTTTGCTCCTTGTCTTCAACTTCTCTCGTCTCTTTCGAGCAGGTTGCTCCTTGTTGTCAAGCTGTCTGGGCTCTTTCGAACTTTTCGAATCTTTTTCGAGCGGCTTGCTTGTTTTCAATCTCGCAAGCCGCTCGACAGTGACTTGACTAGAGAATTTCGAAAGAGACTGGAGCAGTTGAAAACAAGGAGCAAACCGCTCGAAAGAGACTCGAGAATTTCGAAACAGGCTAGAGCAATTGAAAACCAGGAGCAAACCGCTCGAGAGGAACTACAGAATTACCAGAACAAAGCACTTGCATACACCATGTCGCCCTTGTTTTCTGGGACTTCTGCACAGCTGTCAGCAGCTGCCGCGGCAGCAAGCAACCTCACATCGCCCTGTCGTTGGACAGGCAGACTGACCACACCCTTGGGTGAGTGGGGCTTTTATGCTCAGTGGCACAATGCCACGGGCACATTCACACACCAGAACCAAAGGTGGAGCTCCAGTGCGCAAACCGCTCGAAAGAGACTAGAGAATTTCGAAAGGGACTAGAGAAAAGGAAAACAAGGAGCAAGCCGCTCGAAAGGAGCTAGAGAATTTCAGCACAAGGAGCAAGCCGCTCGAAACAGACTAGCGAATGTCGAAACAGACTAGCGACTTCGAAAACAAGGAGCAAACGGCTCGAGATGAACGAGACAGTTTTGAAAACAAGGAGCAAACTTCTCAAAAGGAACAAGAGAGCCTGAAAACAAGGGGCAAACCGAAAGAGAGATTTCCAAGGAGCAAACCGCTGGAAAAGAATTCGAGAGTTTCCGATAGCGACTAGAGACCTTCGAAACAACTAGAAACTGAAAACGAGGAGCAAACCTGTCGAAAGGAACTAGTAACTAGTGCAGAACAGCAGAAGGAGCAAGCCGCTCGAAAGAGACTAGAGAATTTCGACAGAGCGGTTTGCTCCTTGTCTTCAATTTCCCTAGCCTCTCTCATAATCCTCTAGGATCTTTCAAGCGGTTTGCTCCTTCTTCTGCAATCCCTCAGTTGTTTTCGAGCGGTTTGCTCCTTGTTGTCAACTTCTCTAGTCGCTCTCGGACCTCTCTAGTCTGTTTAGAGCGGGTAGCTCCTTTCTAGTTCCTCTCGAGCGGCTTGCTCCTTGTTTTCAATTTCTCTAGCCTCTTTCGAAATTCTCCAATCTCTTTCGAGCGGCTTGCTCCTTTTTCTGAAGGTCTCGAGTTCCTTTCGAGCGGCTATCGAAATTCTCTTGTCCTTTCCGAGCGGCTAGCTCCTCTTCTGAAATTCTCTAGTTCCTGTCGAGCGATTTGCTCAGTGATCTGGAATTGTTTTCGGATCTTTCGTGCGTTTTGCTCCTTCTTCTGAAATTCTCACGTTCGTTTCAAGCAGTATGCTCCTCGTTTTCAATGGCACTAGTCTCGTTCGAACGGTTTGCTCCTTCTTCTGAGACCCCTTAGTTGCTTTCGAGCGGTGTGCTCCTTGTATTCAATTTCCCTTGCCTCACTCGAAATTCTCCAGTCTCGCTCGAGCTCTTTCTGAAGTCCTGAGTCCTTAGCTCCTTGTCGTCAGCTTCTCTAGTCTCTTTCGAACGGCTTGCTCCTTCTTCTGAAATTCTCTATAGTTCCTTCCGAGCGGTTTGCTCCTTGGTTTCAATTTCTCTAGTCTCGGTCGAAACTCTCTAGTCTGCGTCGAGCGGTTTGCTCCTTCTTCTGAAATTCTCTCGTCACTTTCGAGCGCTTTGCTCCTCGTCTTCAACTTCTCTCGTCACTCTCGTCTCTTTCGAACAGGTTGCTCCTTGTTTTCAACTTCTCTCGTCTCTGTCGAACAGGTTGCTCCTTGTTTTCAAGCTCTCTGGTCTCTTTCGAGCGGTTTGCTAGTTTTCAATCTCGCAAGCCGCTCGGAAAGTGACTAGAGAATTTCGAAAGAGACTCCAGCAGTTGAAAACAAGGAGCAAACTGGTCGAAACGAACTAGAGAGTAACCAGCAAACCATTCGAAAGAGAAAGACATTAGAGAAATACAAAACAGGTTACAGGTTAGAAAAGGAACTCGGAGATTTCAGAACAAGGAGCAAACAAGTCGAAAGAGACTAGAGAATTTCGACTGAGACTAGAAAAATTGAACCCAAGGAGCAAACCGCTCGGAAGGAACTACGGAGAATTCCAGAACAAGGAGCAAGCCGCTCGAAAGAGACTAGAGAATTTCGAAAGAGAACAGAGAGTTTGACAACAAGCAGCTACACACTCGAGAGAATCTAAAGAGTTTCAGAACAGGAACAAACCGCTCGAAAGAGACGGGAGAGTTTCAAACGAGACGAGAGAAAACGAAAACAAGCCGCAAACCGGTCGAAAGAGACCAGAGAATTTCGAAACAGACTAGAGAGTTCTCCAGAGACACTAGCGGAAATTCAAAAGAAACAATTTGACAACAAGGAGCAAACCGCTCGAAAGAGACCAAAGAATTTCGAAAGAGACTAGCGAGTTTGACAAAGGACGCCCTCGGGGCGCCATATTTACGATGGCTTTAAAAGTGTAATGTTTTTAAGCATACGTTCACACTGGAAACGCTGGCGTTCCCTGTACGTTCGGCACCTTGAGTTCCAGACCTCAGAAAAAACGCCGGTAACAAGATACACCAACAGTAAACAGCAACTTTTGTATGCGATCGAAATCAGCACTGTGCATGTGCCTTGGGGCTAATAACAGCCTTGGGTGAACCGCTCGTCGTTGATTAGGTGTAACTTCGCCACAGCTCTCGACTTTGCTTTAGGTGCAACCTTCGTCACACCTTCGTTCTGACACACGCACCGGTCTTTGCCCCATCTCTTGCGCACAGCGCACATTGTTCGGGCCATGATGTGATCGTCGATCTGCAGCAAGGGGCAAGCCGCTCGAAAGAGACTAGAGTGACTAGAGAAGTTGAAAACAAACGGGAAAGCGCTCGAACGAGACTATAGAGGATTTCGCGAGGGACTACAGTAGGGAGATTGAAAACAAGGAACAAACAGATCGAAAGAGGCCAGAGAACTCGAAAGAGACTAGAGAAAGTGAAACAAGGAAAAAAACCGCTCGAAAGAGACTAAAGATTTTCGAAAGAGACTAGCGAAAGTGAAAGCAAGGAGCAAACCGCTCGAAAAGAGACTTAAGAATTTCGAAAGAGACTAAAGAAATTGAAAACAAGGAGCAAACCGCTCGAAAAAGACTAGAGGAGTTGAAAACAAGGAGCAAACCGTTCGAAAAAAACTAGGGGATTTCGAAAAGTCGAAAACAAGGAGCAAACCGCTCGACAAGAACTAGAGAATTTCAGAACAAGGAGCAAACCGCTCGAAAGCGACTAGAGACATTGCAAACAAGGAGCAAACCGCCTTAAAGGAACTACAGAATTTCAGAAGAAGGAGCAAACCGCTCGAAAGAGACTAGAGAATTTCGAAAGAGAGTAGAGAAAGTGAAAACAAGGACCAAACCGCTCGACAAAAGACAAAAGAATTTCAGAAGAAGGAGCAAACCGCTCGAAAAAAACTACAGAATTTCGATCAAAGCAAGGAGCAAACCGCTCGAAAGAGGCTAGAGAGTTTGGAAACAAGGAGCAAACCCCTCGAAAGAGACTCGAGAACTTCGACAGAGACTAGAGAAGTTGAAGGCCAGGAGCAAACCGCTCGAAATGAACCAGAGAAATTCAGAGACTAGAAGGTTTGAATACAAGGAGCAAGCCGCTCGAAAGAGACTAGAGAGCCCGCGAAGGGCGGAAGCCCTAGTCCGGGAATGGTGTGACAGTGATCGAACTTCGAATTTGGGGTGATAGGGCATGTTTGGATGAATCCTTTTGCAAAAATGTAAAAAAAACCTTGTGTGGCCTGTCACGGCGTTTTCTGCCTTCCTCGAGGCTTCATTTGTTCCCTTTTGCCTCAGGGTCCATTTGAAGCCTGCCACAGGGCCCGACTAAACCCTGTTGCCTTGTTGCACTGAACCCTGTTGCCGCAGGGGGAGGGGCGCTCTTTACGACCTCTGGGTGGCAAGGGGTACACAAGACGACCTTTTAAAACCCGTCGTTCGGTCAGGAGGGCTTTTATCTCAACATCTCGGGCACGAGGAATCTCGATCCGGGCTGCAGAGGGGCCACTGACAGCTCTAGGTGCGATGAGGGAAAGGTTTGTTTTGGTCATGGATACCTGGCAGGGTGGAAGAAAAGCCTGTACGCGGGAAAGAATTTTTAGACCCTGTCCACGCTGGTGGAGATACAAACAAGCCCCTGGACAGCGCGGAAGGCTTTCTTCGGACTCTGTCCATGCATGCTCGAGAAGCTGTTGAGCGCCGGGCCTACCCAGGGCAGAGAAAGAGCCTTTCCGACAGTACCCAAAAAACCTATGGGGACCAAACAAAACCCAGCCCGATTCAGCATCCCCCAACCCGCGATCTGCACCTAGGCCTGCGCGCTTTGTGCACTCACTCAGTGACGCTGCACTGGCCTAGCCAAGCAACCGCAAGGACGAATCGAAGCGCACCCGCATAAGACTGTGAGCCCTGCATCGGTTTCGACTTCCTTTGCTCCTTTTGCAAAGGCAGTTCTTGCTCTGGACAACACGAAAAACGTGGCACCCTTTACTCGCAGCCTGACTACCCCAAATCGCCGAACTATGTAGCACCTTTGACGTCTAGGCTATCCCTAAAACCCAGCACACTAGATCACTATGTATTATCTTGTCCTCCAACATCCATAAAACACGAAACCTCTGGAGTGGCAGAGTTATCCCAGGTGCGCCGTTCCTTTGCCTTGGCTCGTGGGCTGGATCTGGACGGCATGGTAACCCCCAAGTAGCCTTGGAGCATGGACTAAGTCAGGATATATGCGACTCGCAAGAACAGGGGTCCCTGTTCGGGGTTGTAAGGGTGATTACTTTGGAGCTGCCAACCAACTCTATAAGGGCAATCGATGGGATTGTCCGAACCTGAACGGTTACAAGCTTTTGCCCAAGTGCCTGCTTCCCCTAGCACTCCTCCCTTTTTCCGCTGACAGAACAGGCATCATCTTGAGGGAATGCAAATCCGGTGGCTTTGTGATATACTTCCGCAATAAACAGTCTCTTGTTCGCCACTGACTTCATCAGCTGGGTTTGAGGCCCCAGAATTTCTCTTTTGCGGTTGTCAGCTCCGAGATTAACAGACCGTGTCACTCTCCCACACGTACTGAGCCAGGACGCTGCGGGTAATCGTAAAAAATGCACATCTCCTGCATGGGGCTGAGTTCTCGGTTAGGAGCTGCGGGGACCTCGGATCTGTCTTTAGACCACGACGAGACTCGGGACTGAGCTGGACACCTCAAAGAAGCTACTTGTCACGTATCTGCGAAAGACGTTGCGCCGAGTCTGCTCCGATGCCGTTGTCTTCGGGCTCAAGTTGCAGGCGTCAGGGAGCAATCGGATAGTCTTGATGGTACTCGGGTGCCAACCGATCGTAAGTTGCTGCTGGGCAATGCGCGTGCGAGCGTTTGCTTGATAGCCACCTACTTTCCAAACAGCGCACACGAAGTGACACATATCCGCGTTCAAGATCATCCGACAAGAACCTGCCACCAAGCGCTCTCAACCTGGCTTGCGCTTTAAGATGGGCTGACTACACATACCCTAGAAGCTTCTTCAATCAAGCTAAATTGTCTTCGATTTCGTCAGCGCATGAGCATCCACGAGGTGATGCTTACCAAGCCTCCCTATTTCTAACCTGTGATGTTCATTTTGAGGCAATAACCCTGGTCCTTCCATTGGGCAGGCCGAGCAAGCTCCGTCCGACCTTGGACTCTTCGGAAGTCTTGGAAACCCCGGCGCGGATCCTCAAAAACTGCCCAAAAAGCTTCTCACCGGAGCATCGGGATCTGCAAGGTATGGAGTTTAATCGCCGCCTCAGGCGTAACGGAGCCTTTAGTCAAAGAAGGCGGGACACCTCATGCTTAAGGCTACGGCTTCCGGAGTCTCGGAGTGCGGTCCTGGTGTAAGCGAGCAGTATCTCCAAGCATCGTCGCAGCCAATGGAGTTGTATGCAACGGTTCTAAGTTATGTGGAACCTGAAGGGTCTTCAGACAAATCGCAGGTAGAATGGGTCCTCACAGAACCCCAAGCAACAACCCGTATCATCCCCAAAGAATCGCGACTCGCAGCGATATTTTAAGGACACTTAGGCGAGATGAGGGGCTGTCCCAGCGAAAAATCTTTGGCAGGTCTCGGTAGCACCACTCGTCCTCAGTTAGTGCAGCGGTCAGTTTGTGCCTCTTGCTCTCGGATATGGCCGTGGAAACTGCTTCAGGGAAGACTCCTCATGTGTTCTCGAGGAAAGCCCAATTCAGACATGAGAAAGCCCACACAGTCATCCAAAACTAAGTTGACGGTCTAACTTGATGGCCGCTTGCCTTTGCAGCAAGATACTATCGCAGAATTGGTAGAAAAGAGAAAGCAGAAGAAGATCCACGTTGCAAGAACCTTCTTTCTGCCCAGCTGCACTCTTGAAGCGGTACACCTGCGGCGTGATAATCTGCGAGTCCTCGCTGCCGCTGCCACGATAATCGACCAGAGTTGTCAAAAGAGGGCTGAAGTGAAAGGCCTACCAGCCCATCGCGATGCAGCGATGAGGTGGGCACCAGTGTCTGAAAGAGCATGGCAGCAGGAATGTCCAAGCGTCTATTCTAGAAGTACCTCATGTCTGCCAGTGCCTGGCTTCGTCCCGAAACCAAGCGAACGTGACTGCACAACAATGAATATAGCCATTCGCAGTGGAACTTATGTTGCTGCTTTGCCGTCAGGATTCGTTCAACAAAGCTTGGCTGCTCGAGATTTGAACATGGCTCGGCAGTTCGGGCACGTCTGGTGCGAACGGTCTGGTAGTAAGTATTTCTATCAGATTGCGTCCTCATCAATGGGGAAGGTCATGGGCATCCACGCTGCTCCCTTGGCGTCCGCAGCTGTTGGATTGATGACTTCCTCGTCGAGGCGGGTGTGTTGGCGGCTCGTGGGCGATGTTTAAGTCAACGCAAGGCATGCTTTCGAGATGTCATGGCGCAAAATGAAACCTGTTCTTTGCAGCAGGAAGGCAGCTCGTAGTCGAACGTAATCCTCCCCTGCACGGAGGGTGATCCAGAACCGGAAAACGAGGTTGGTGACAGGGTAAGCACCTGGAGACTTGCAGTGTGTCTTCGTGTATTCTTTAGTGTATAAGCTTAAAGCCGATAGATGCCCGCTAGGCCCGAAAATCCACACCGTTGCGTAAGTCACTCCCTGCACATTACCTACCACATCGATGACCGTCAAAGCATTTCGAACGTCTTCCCATCGCACGATGAACCACCAGTGAAATTCTGAAGTCCTCGCTCCTATACTCCTATACCCTGAAGCCTGCAGCCCGTGCCCGGAAATGCCCATGGTAGGCGTTCGGAGAAGGAAAGCGATTATGGCTTTCGTGGCAGCGGTGGCAAGGTCGAATAGATTATATTAGAAATCGCGAGCATGTGATTAGTAGGAGTAGGAGTAGCAGTAGGAGTAGGAGGAGGAGGAGGATCAGGAGTAGGAGGAGTAGCAGTGGCAGCAGCAGTAACAGTA